AGGATAGGAAGCTGGAAACGCAAATGAGTAAGGAATGTAAGGACATATGTGTGTCCTAAACAGGTAGTCAACAAATGGAATGCACTAAAAGAAGCAGCTGTGGAAGGCTTCCTCTATCACAACTTTATAACCAGATTTCATAACAAATTAGAGTGTTAGAATAGTTAAATTATAACGTCACGGGTACAAGAAGATTAGTAGGCGGGGCATGAAGAGTTGACCTCACTGCCTTAGTCACTATAGGTAAGTACCTCCTTCACCGCTGCCTCAAAACTGGATGGCAAGGCTTACAGTTTTCAGATAAATCCTGGTCAGCTGGTGAACCCCGGGGCGCTGGGTGCTGCTCCAGCTGCCAGGTGGTCACTCTCCCCCCCCCCCCTCGTGTATCTGCCACCAGCTGTGCCTCCACGGCCTCTCTTAACCTCATCTCCTCTCTTCTTCTCCCTATCTTCTCCTGCCTCCACCTATTGTCTTAACCCCTGTACACCTACACTCCCCACGTCCTCCCAACACCCCCGTACCCACTCTGTACACAGCCTTATATACAACTCCCCCCCCCCCCCTAGCCACAGCACCTTAGCACTTAAGGGCAATACTGTTCGTGGTGGTTGTAACCAAGAAGACAGCTTAAGAGTCCAGGGGTCCCTCTTGATAACACACCTCCAGTGATGTTGGTTGAAGCTCCGGAAAGAAACATATTACTGGAGATCTCAAACAGAAAATTACATGTAGGGAAATTGACCTACCTTATTAGGGTACTATAATTGGCCTCAATGATACAGGCGCACATCTCCTCGGGACACTCATACTCTTATTAGCAATACTTCATCACACTCCTGTGTCGTGGGCTCTGCTCCCTCTCGCGCCCCGCCAAAAGCACCACAATTTAAAGATAAATGTTTTCCTTATCTTTTGGTTAGACTCTTCGGCGACTCGTTCGCACGAACCTGCTCCACGGCATTCCACCTCCCACGAGAGGACTCACTTAGCTAACTATTTTGTTATTAGGTAATCATCAGGACTAGGCGCCAAGCCAGTACTTCTATATAACACTTACTACTTGTATCTATTCCATAACCAAAGAGATTAACCTATTACTAAAGAGTCCTTCACGTTCTGTCACAGGCAAGTGTTCCCTTGTGCACGACGTGCCCCAAGCCCCGGACAATGGGCACCTACCATTGTGCACGACGTGCCCCAAGCCCCGGACAATGGGCACCTTCCGAACTATTGGTGGACGGCCGCTGGGTCGTGTACAAGTAGCAACACCTTCCAGCTGGACCACAACACTGACATTGTCACTACCTGTCCGGCCAAAGTCTCCAGGTCTTGAGCTGTGGCCAAGACGCCCTCCCACACTCTCATGTCAACTTACCCGAGCTACAACAGCTCCACAACAACCCGCTCCATAAACCTATCTTATGAGCCTCGTTTACATACACAACCTACTCTAAGGTAGACCTAAGACGGTCTCCGCGCCGTTGACGGGTCCGGCCAGAGGAAACCTTAAACAATGTCCCACAAGGTGATCCAAGACCTCGGTCAACGGTTCGAACCCGGAGCGGCGCAACGCCCACACACCGCTGAACTGCTGTTTTAACCAGTAAACAGTTAACCAGATCCTCTCCCCACCTCGAGCCGAGGCTGTTGAGAGCCACCCGCCGGCGGTCCTGACATTATTACTCAATGATCAAATATTTTACAGCCAGAACTAAAAGCTAAGCTATTAAACTTCAAACTGAAGAAAATCTTCAGCTATTAAACTATTATAAACTATTGTCTAGAGCTGAGGAGTAATTATCCAGTCAATATCGATGTTAGTGACACTAATGCATTGTCATGGGTATGTCACCTCATAATACCTCATTAGCGGCACTGCCTTCAAATTATCACAAATCTTTTGCCCTTAAATATCTAAGGACCTCTTACCTCCGTAATATACTTGTCATCATAATGCTAATTTTCACAACAAATAAGCTCACTTGGGTTGGATGCCATTTACCCCTCGAGTGTGAGGTGAGCACCCTCCTGCTTCCCGGCACGGACGTCTTACTTGTAACTGCACAGTGGACTATTTTGACAACTCAAACTCTCAACACTCTCAACAACAACAGGACAACTCTCAACACCGCGTGACGGCGCGACATTTCCTTAGTGGACCTCACCAAGGAAAGAACCGTAGGTATCGTTATCAGACAATGCTGTAGAGCTGGATATACTCCACTTATGAACCAGCAGTCTCCAACCTGCCAGGTCCACTACAGCCAACGGGGGACTGTAGTCACGACGAGCCATGCTGTACCCCGCCTGAGGCCACTCCTGCGCCACTTGCTAGCTTAAATAATTTAAGGGGGCGTCTGGTTGGCATCTGGGTCCAAAAATGCAAAAATGAAAACTCATTCGATTTCAATCAAACTTTTTTGACAAGTTCTATATGAAAAGTGTTTCATCTGGTCCAAGTTTCAGCATTGTAGCATAAACAGGAAGGGAGAAAAAAAATATTGAAGTAGTTGTGAAAATTATGCAAAAATGGTCAAAATCGATTATCAATCAAAAGTGTCAACTGAAATCATAACTACAACTCTTTGCTATCACAATAGCATATATTAAACAAATATTATTATTAGTTTAATTGGAAAAAAATTTAAGGAAAAAAAAAAAAAAGGATTTTTTTTTCTTTTTTTTTTTTAAATATTTTTTTTTTTCATTTTTTTGGGGCGATTTGCATCAAACTTACACACCTGACTGTACGTAAGCCTATCTGTAAGGATGCCTATTTTGGAGAAAATTGGTTGATGTCAACCCCAGCCACAGATTTTAGAACCTTAGACTTTATTCATTTCTGTTTTTTTTTCAATTGACACAAACGTTTACAAAACTCATTCTTTTTTTATTCAATTTACATGAAACTTACACAGTATATGGGGAGGGCATGTCTTTACATTGGGGGGCTTTCATTTTTCTCTAAGTTCATTTATTGATTTTATAATAGCAATAAACATGCCATATTTGCAAAAAAATTTTGGGGAACTTTGAACATTTGTATTAGGAAAACTAAAGATGTTTTGGAAATTCTAAATCCCCAAATCCTTTATTATATGCTAATGTGTCAGAAAAGTGTCACAGAATAATTTTATCTGAAACGTGTGTTCTGAAGTGTGGACTTGAAAATGTGTAAAAAACGTTCAAAAAACAAAAAACAAAAAAAAACTCCCTTTCTATTTACGCTGCAGTACTGAAACTTGGGACAATTTAAGCACTTTTTATATACAACTAGAAAAATAATATTGGTTGACATTGAACAACTTTCATTATAATAACCAGACGCCCCCTTAACATTCAAAAAGGAAAACTCCTCCTCCTCCAAGAGTGACGACGTGTCCTTGCTCAGGCCTAGTGGTTTTGTCGTCGGTTTCGAGGAGTTGTTTGTTCTCTCTGATTTTGGCGTCATTTGGACAGTTAAGCTGGTCACAGAAATGCTTGGTAGACTTTGATCCAAACAAGTACAAATTAATGAAAATGGGGCACTTGTTTGTTTAAGAAAATGTCAATGTAAAGTCAAAATTTTATATTGTGTTGCATAACCTTGGAAAGGAAAATAATCTGTTAAAAAAGTTCAAAAGACGGCTATTCAAAGAGTGTTTGGGATAAGGCCAGTCTTATATACAGAATCCCGGGTTAGGAGATTAGCTTCAGTACCATAATTAAAACTTGCACACATGCAAGTAGTTTTTAGGAATCTGGATAAGGAGTCACTGAGGTCGCTGTACACTAGTTACGGAAGACAAATGCTAGCGCATGCCGCCCTGGAAACACTCCTCACCTGAGGGTAAATACCAGACGAAACAAAAATGTTGAGATACACCACATGACTGGTCCAAGACCTGAGAGGACTGGACCACAAGGAAAGACAGAGCAGGATCTCAACACGCCACCCATAGAAGGGATGGGAACTATCAGGAAAAAGCGCCAAGCTATTACGACTACATAGCACTGGGAAGGGGTCAGGATAAAGATTTGGGATGGGACGGGGGAAGGAATGGTGTCCAGCCACTTGGTCGGGGATTGAACGCCGACCTGCATGAAGTGTGACCATCGCTGTACCGTTCAGCCCAAGTGGTCCATCCTTAGAGCTGCTGACAAAGTAGATCTAGATGAACTAATTATTATGAGTAACGGTAGAAAGAGAATTCACAGTATGACATCAAACACTGATGACTAATTAGTAAGCACATGAAGTCAGCTGCAAGGGGAGATAATCCAGGATTAAATGTACAGGTTCAGAATAGGTATGATACAAGTGAATGACCGACATGTGTAAAAAGTGGTGCTCAAGAGCTTAAGCTTGGCCGGCAGAGGTAGAGGAGTACGTGGAGGCAGGAGCGAGGCACCTAAGCTGGGAAGACCTTGGTGTTACTGCTGGAATATCGACAAGGCTTCACATCACAAGATCTTCGCCTTCTCTTCTCTCTTCCTTTCTCATTTTTTGTATTTTCCCTATATTCTCTTCCCTGAGACTCCCCCTCACATCTCTTCTTTCTCTCCTCTAACTTTACCCCCTCTTTCAGCACCCATTTTTCTAACACTTTCCCTCCCACCCGCAAAAAAAAAAAAATTACAACGCCTGCCTTGTTACTCTTTAATTTTCCTCATGACCTTCCCCTATTCCTCCCTGCCATAATCTTCCCTCCCATAACCTTCCCATATTCCTCCCTGCCATAACTTTCCCATATTCTTCCCTGCCATAACCTTCCCATATTCCTCCCTGCCATAACTTTCCCATATTTTTCCCTGCCATACTCCTCTTCCCTTGCCCCCACTACATCTTCCTTACTGCCAGTAACCGTCACGCCCGGCCTCCACCGTCTCCATCCTCTCCTCTGTCACTTTTTATTCCTTTGTTGCCGGCCAGGGTGTTCCCTGGAGAGCACCTGATTACTCTTGGGGTGGGAGATTATGAGCTCGGAGAGGGGCTTGGGAGGCAGGTGTTGCTTCCGACACTATTCCACGCCAGTCAGGGGCCACGCCACACCAGTGGCCCGGGGTGTGTGTTGAGGAGTGACAGTCAGGGGCCACGCCAGACCAGTGGCCCGGGGTGTTTGTTGAGGTGTGACAGTCAGGGGCCACGCCAGACCAGTGGCCCGGGGTGTTTGTTGAGGTGTGACAGTCAGGGGCCACGCCACACCAGTGGCCCGGGGTGTTTGTTGAGGTGTGACAGTCAGGGGCCACGCCAGACCAGTGGCCCGGGGTGTTTGTTGAGGAGTGACAGTCAGGGGCCACGCCACACCAGTGGCCCGGGGTGTTTGTTGAGGTGTGACAGTCAGGGGCCACGCCAGACCAGTGGCCCGGGGTGTTTGTTGAGGTGTGACAGTCAGGGGCCACGCCAGACCAGTGGCCCGGGGTGTTTGTTGAGGAGTGACAGTCAGGGGCCACGCCAGACCAGTGGCCCGGGGTGTTTGTTGAGGCGTCACAGTCAGGGGCCACGCCAGACCAGTGGCCCGGGGTGTTTGTTGAGGAGTGACAGTCAGGGGCCACGCCAGACCAGTGGCCCGGGGTGTTTGTTGAGGCGTCACAGTCAGGGGCCACGCCAGACCAGTGGCCCGGGGTGTTTGTTGAGCACCCAGCGGGTCAACAGTCCTTGGTAAATGTCAACAAGAGAATATTACGGTGGAAGCCATTAGCAGCATCTCGCTGCTCTTTTGTCTCTGCTGCTCTCAACACGCTCCACGCTTCTCAACTTTGATATTGTTTTACGAATTTTCTCTCTCTGAGAAGTCTTGGTATTGTGTGTGTTTCAGATTCTTGGGCTCTATGGTCTACCTGAAGGTAGTCTGGGGCAACTAGTCCACACCTCAATTGCTTTGTCATGTTTACTTCTAAGGCTGTGGAGGGAGAGCGAGTGAGTTCAATATGTGAGTAACCAATCCCTGGTGACCCCCATCCTCCGTAACCCCCACCAGAAGGTTACTATAGGACTCATTCTCCACCAACCTTCCCTAGGACTCTACTTCAAAGTCTTCTGCTTACCACAATTTATTTTATTTCAAGTCCGTATATACCGCCTTGGGACCCATTGTTAAACTGAGGCAAGTGCTCTTGGTCTGCCTTTGAACTAACACACATGAACACGTTAGTATTCAATAGTCGCAAAGAAAATGACACTCATCTACCAGTCTAACAAGCTCTGCAAGTCACAAAATACATGTTTTTAGCCTAATAAGTATTAGCTACTTGGAGTCAAATATTCAGTATAGTTATTGTTTGTGAAGAGTGAACGGCCAGTAGTCATCACTTAATATTCCAGATGCTACACAGGAAGGAGGAAACTAGGCACTAACCATCACATTTTTCCCTTGACAGAGCGCGAGTCAGAGGTGAAGGTTGAGCAGCCGCCAGCAAGGAGGACCACCGAGCCACCATGCTGGAGCCCAGCAGTTCTGAGGAGGAGTCTGACGGTGAGGTGCAGGAGGAGCCTGGGCGCGGCCACCCTGCCCGCTCCGGCGGGGGCAGCACCAGTCATGACCACCACACTACTGACGGAGGCCCGCCTGCTGTGGTCTCCCACCCGTCCCTGCAGGTCCCCAGTACCACAGGCTCCCTCCCAAGGTGAGCCTTCCTTCTTCATACCTTCTTCATTGACTGGTCGCTACAGCCACGGCCTCGCTTCTTGCAGGCCGGGGTTCGATCCCCAATGGTTCAAATGGTTGAACGTCGTTCCTTCACTCCGTACCTCTATCCAAGCTCCTATCCTGTCGTCGTATTCCTTCCATGTGCTATGTAGTCATACTGGCCTAGCGCTTGCTCCTCATCCTTGTCTTCATAGAAAGTCTTAGCTCCTGGTCCTTGTGTGAGCACTCTTCAGTTCGCACGAAACTTTGTCTTGGGGTATATTGTTGAACTCTTATGTACAGGACTTGTAGTGTGTTCGTGTGGCGCCATTATCCTCATGTGCTCACACGGCGCTCATTAGTATCCTGATGTGCTCACACGGTCGTTGATTATTATATTTTATCTTAATATGAGGTAAATTTGGTCACTTGATATGACTTTGCGAGTGTTTTATGTACATATAAAGTGTTCTGGGAGTTTTACCCTAAGACAATATAGTAGTGGTGTGGGCCAGCTCCAGGTGTGGCCCCCTCACAGTATAGTGGTGGTGTGGGCCAGCTCCAGGTGTGGCCCCCTCACAGTTATGGACGGGACGAGGCCGGCGGCAGCGTGGGCACTACACCACCGCCTCCAGTAATACCTTTACTTTCATGGTGTGTGTCTGGTGGTGGAGCAGAAGACTGGTCCAAACACTGGGGCCACACCTGTGGTGTTGTCATATACTAACGCCTCAGAGATGGGTTGTGGTGCTGTGTGTGTGGCGACAGTGTAGTGTGGTGCTGTGTGTGTGGCGACAGTGTAGTGTAGTGTGGTGCTGTTTGTGTGTGGTGACAGTGTAGTGTGGTGCTGTGTGTGTGTGGCGACAGTGTAGTGTGGTGCTGTGTGTGTGTGGTGACAGTGTAGTGTGGCCTGAGGGAGGTTCCTGCCTGCTCCTGACCCATGTACATGACAAACTTTACCTGTGATTCTCCTTGTCTCTGATGACAAATGCCTTTAAACACGACTTGCACTTTATTATACTGAAGACGGCCACAATATGAGAGGAACATAAGTCTTGAAATATGTGCAGATAACTGATTAATGTTTAAATCTCTTTCCAGGTGAAACTTCGATAATTCTCCATGTGTATATTAATATATAGTTACTCCGGTTTCAGTGTTGTACATACGATGACGTTAACAGCCTCACTAATCACTATGTAAGGACATGTTGTACATTATAATGTTAGATGTAACAGTTTAGAAGGTTTTCTTGGTGTTACAGCTGGCCAAAATTGCTGAGTATATTTTCCCTAATGTAGCCAGAATGTGCGCGAGTTATAATGTGCTCAAACATGTGTAAGAATAAGAGAGAGTAGCCGAGAGACCCGCCTCACCTTATGTGTGTGTGTTGTTCCTTTTACTGCCCAACCACCGCCTCTCATTAACAAACAGGTCTACTTCCATACTCATATTTTCTATGTTGTGAGGTTTACATTTCAGTAAAGTTAATACTCTTCCCTCGCTCTCTTACCTTCTCCCTCTCTCGCTCCCTTACCTAACAGAGGTAGGCAAGATGGAACAAGCAGTAAGGTTGGTGCACAACACCATTCGAAGTAACGGTTGAATGGGACACTATGAACACATGTTATAAACTTGGAGAAGTTGATATTGTTGTTCCCATTGGGACAAGGAAGACCAAGGGGAACTATGGACTCGCAGGAATCACATAGCTAAAAGGAGTCACCTTCTATAAGATCAGTGAATAATTGGAATAAGATAACAGATGATGCCAAATGCATACGATGAGTCACAATAACGGGGCTGAAGATATAATGACCAAACCACACATCAGAAAAGGAAGAGACGACGACGTTTCGGTCCGTCCTGGACCAATATCATGTCAAGTGATGACAATAATGATCCAGGAATGTGACCACACGACTTGATAACGGTCCACCACGAACCCAAACGTCGTCGTTTCTTCATTTTCTGATGAGTGGTTTAGTCATCACGATGCCAAAGTAACAGGAAGAGGAACCATGGTATTCGGTGAGACATAAGAGAAACACCGACGCCCAGGAGCTGATGCCCGACCCTCAAGCAGAGTTTGGTGGGTGCACACACACACACACACACACACACACACACACACACACACACACACACACACACACACACACACACACACACACACACACACACACAGACGGGTTCTCAAAACAATAATACATGAACACGTCCGAGACGAGAGGAGAGTGAGGACAAAAGTGCGGGATGACAGGGCGAGTGTACATGCCAGCCGGGCGACACAACACCGTCACGGTTGACGGTAGCGCCGCCTCACTGTGCGAGAGAGGCGCCCAGCCCCGCACCCACCCAACATATCTTGGCCAGCAGAAAGAAATAGTTTGTAGTAGAGAGAGGGAGAGAGTGAGAAAGCCATCTTGTGTCACTTACGAAAATGGATCGTTTCATGCCGTGTTACATTTTCCCTGTCCTCTCTCTCTCTCTCTCTCTCTCTCTCTCTCTCTCTCTCTCTCTCTCTCTCTCTCTCTCTCCTCTCTCTCTCTCTCTCTCTCTCTCTCTCTCTCTCTCTCTCTCTCTCTCTCTCTCTCTCTCTCTCTCTCTCTCTCTCTCTCTCCGCTCTCTCTCTCTCAATATGGACTGAGGCTGGGGGGGAGGGGAGGAGTAAGATAGAGCCAGGATGAGTGTGTCACTCTCCGTGAGAGGTTACGAGAGGAGTGTGTAGCGAGCACATCTGTCAACACAACGAATGAGTAAGAAACATGTGGACTTACCTACCAGTGTCTACAACACGGGCAGGAGACTTGTTCTGTAAAATCTTCAAAGTGCAGTAGTCCGTCCTCTTGACGATTGGACCGGACCATCATTGGAGACATAATGAATATTGGCAAGATCTTAGGTGGCTGATTTAAAATGCACAACTCTGCGGATCTGAATACGCACATTTAAATACAAAGTCTGGAGCAACATTTCTGCTCTTGAAATACCTTGTACAATACTATGTTACTTGAAGACCAAACCACACACCAGTAGATGGGGAGACGACGACGGGTCGGTCCGTCATGGACCATTAGCAGGTCCATGTACACTATTATTTTATGGAAGCTTCATGCATACAAGTTTAATTCACTAAGGAATTTTGTTTAGCGCAATATAATGAGCCATACCAGTGTTACCATACAAGGGTACAATGAGGGGAGAGGGGACAATATGGGGAAGTTGGGAGATGAGGGATAACATGGAAGGAAGAATGGCGAAGGGGTAAGAGATGGCAGAGGAGGAGGGAGGAAGAAAAGAGGTCAGGAAGAGTGGGGGAGAGGGAGAGGGAGTGGGAGGGGAAGAGGGGGGGGAGGTACATAAACAAAAAGTCACAAGGTGAAGTTTGCCTGGTTATGGTGAACAAAAGTGAAGGTAAGAGTCATTTATCACAGTAATGACCCCGTGGAGAAGTTTGTCCGCTCACACCGTCGAGGCGGAGGCGCTCTCCAGATGGTGTCTGGCACACTACACATGCACGGTACACCGTCCCGCACTCTCCCTCCACACTTCCCACCCTCCTCAACACCCCTACGGTGACCACACCTCCTCAACTACACCAGATACAGCGACCACCACCCTTGTGAACTACACCAGATACAGCGACCACCACCCTTGTGAACTACACCAGATACAGCGACCACCACCCTTGTGAACTACACCAGATACAGCGACCACCACCCTTGTGAACTACACCAGATACAGCGACCACCACCCTTGTGACCACCACCAGATACAGCGACCACCACCCTTGTGACCACCACCAGATACAGCGACCACCACCTCTTGTGACCACCACCAGACACCACTTAAGATGACAGAAGGAATACTAGTGTATTTTGAAGACACAAGTTGCGGCTAAACACGAGGATGGTAAATGTATACTAAAGAGCGGGGACCTTTAGTGGGAGGAGTTAAGAGTTTAGTGATCAGGGGGGGTGGGAAGTTTAGTGGGGGGGGGGGGGGGGGGGGGGGGTGGAGAGTTTACTGTGGGAGATGTGGGGGGGGGAGGGGGATTTCGAGAGTTTAGTGACGGGGGGGGGGGAGGGGGTATTAGGTGAAGGTGTTGAAGGCTGGGAGAGCACTATGCTCGTCATCCCTCTAACCACACAACCTGTCATCTTACAAATTACGTCTGAATTTGGCCGTATGGCTGAAAATGGACGTAATTTGAAAATGAAAAAAAAAAAAATTGGATTTTTTTCCAAAAGTTAAGGGACCTCTGGTAGGTTAGGAGAGCAGGAAATTCCCCTAAAGTTTCAAAACGTCATGAAAACCGTTAATTGAAAATTTCTTTTCCTAATGTAATCGAGTAAACCAGAGGACTCGAACAGAAAACGGGACAGTGCGTCACTTTCGTGAGCCGATTTCATTTCAAATTACGTCCATTGTTGGCACTAGCGCGCATACGGGCGAAAAGCAACGTTATTTTTAAGAAGACAGGTTGTGTACACATAGCTGGTCCTGACAACCTTCTATGTTATTAACATGTCTCTACCTGCCTGCCTGCGGCGGGCACCCTCCTTTTGAGTGTTAAATTATATATTTTATATATATTGGTTCATAGATCTGAGGGCGTCTTGGGTCAAACTATCGCGGGTCTGCAACCTGAGGCTGATTGATACACTTAAGAAGGTCTACAAAGTTGCCTCAGGCTGATGGTCCGGAGAAATCAAATAGTCTTCCAGAAATTGGTAGGAAAATTAAGACGTTGGTAGAGAGGAGAGGACGATGTGGTCTCGGCCAATGGTATATTTGGTGTCCTGGTGAGGCACTTATATATCTCACTCTGTCTGTCTATGTCTCCGTCTGTCTGTCTATCTGTCTCTGTCTGTCTGTCTATGTCTCCGTCTGTCTGTCTATCTGTCTCTGTCTGTCATTATGTCTCTATCATTATGTCTGTCTCTGTCTCTGTCTCTGTCTCTCTCTCTGTCTCTCTCTCTGTCTCTCTCTGTC